ATCCCAAAACTAACACAACCTTCCAGATATTGACAACTTTTATTCCTGCAACTATTGAGCCACAAACTAGTACAACTTCTCAGACAGTGACAACGTTTATTGCTCCAACTGTTGATCCCCAGACAAACACAACGTCCCAGAAATCAACAACCTCTATTCCAGCAACCATTGATCCCAAAACTAGCATAACCTCCCAGACTTCGACAACTTTTTTTTCTGCAACTATTGATCCCAAAACTAACACAACCTCCCAGACATCGACAACCTTTATTTCTGCAACGATTGACACACAAACTATTGCAACCTCTCAGGCAGTGACGACCTTTATTGCTCCAACTACTGATCCCCAAACAGACACAGCCTCCCAGACATCAACAACCTCTATTCCGGCAACCATTGATCCCAAAACTAACACAACCTTCCAGACTTCGACAACTTTTATTCCTGCAACTATTGAGCCACAAACTAGTACAACTTCTCAGACAGTGACAACCTTTGTTGCTCCAACTGTTGATCCCCAAACAAACACAACCTCCCAGACATCAACAGAATTTATTCCAGCAACTATTGATCCAAAAACTAATGCAACTTCTCAGGCAGTGACAACGTTTATTGCTCCAACTGTTGATCCCCAAACAAACACAACATCCCAGAAATCAACAACCTCTATTCCAACAACCATGGATCCCCAAACAAACACAACCTCCCAGACTTTAACAACTTTTATTTCTGCAACTATTGACCCACAAACTAATGCAACTTCTCAGACATCGACAACCTTTATTGCTCCGACTACTGATCCCCAAACTAATGCAACCTCTCAAACATTGACAACCTTTATTCCTGCAACCATTGATCCCAAAACTAACACAACTTCCCAGACATCAACAACATTTAGTCCTGCAACTATTGACCCACAAACTTACGCAATCTCTCAGACAGTGGCAACATTTATTGCTCCAACTATTGATCCCCAAACAACCTCCCAGACACCAATTACCTTTTATCCTGCAAGTACCGATCCCCAAAATGAAACAACCTCCCAGACACTGACAACTTATATTCCTACCACTGTTAAACTCCAAGCTACAGTCCTTTTCGGGCAGCCTAGTCCAACTATTGTTCCTTTATTCCCACAACAGCTGTATTATTGGTTAGTGCTTTGTGTTGTATGTGCTGTACTGCTATTGCTACTGCTACTGCTACTAGTACTACTTAAAAGAAAAAAGAGAACAACTCAGAAAATAAGGGGGACAATGGACAAGGAGGAAATGATGAAGCTCCATCTGTTTGTTGAGGAGGAAGTTGTAGAGTGTTTGGAGGCATAGCTGGTACACTGGGAGGTATACTGGGGAGTGTATCTGGAAGTGCATTGGGAGGTGAATCTACATTTGTTCATCCAAAAGATCATGTTGCATCATCGACAACCTTTGTCCCAACAATGACAGATCCTCAAACTAACACAGCCTCCGAGACATCGACAACTTATATATTATATAGCATGGCATTATATATAATGTTGGATGATGCATGTTGATATTAAAGACTGCCATTGCTGTGTATCTGTAAATACATACTTCATCTTTGTTTGAGCTTCATTCTGGAAAATGAAAAAGTTATTAAAAATTATTTTTGCCTGTTTCCTTTACAAATGTTGGAACTGAATGTGTATCTTAAACATAGATATTAAAAAAAATATTAAATCATGTTTAAGTGTCAGTGTTATTTATATACATTATTTTTGTCTGTCTCCTTTAAAAATGTTGGAACTGACTGTATCCTGGCCTTGAAGAACGACCATCCGGAAACAGACCGCTGAATAAAACATGCTACATGCATATAATAAAACTGATTAAAGCATGTAGCTCACGTTAGCCTGCTTGTTGTCTTTGCTAGCTAAAAACTGCTTAGCTTACAAAAACTTAACATACCGTAAAAAGCCGTGATGATGCAGACGTCCATACCGCGGATCCACCGGCAGCGACCGCATCCTGGAGGTTTAGCTTCACTTTGTACGTCAGGAAGAGGTTTATCTGGTGCTGATCGAGCTCAGTGAATCCAGGTGACTCTTCCTCAGTCACCTGGACATGTGGCACAGTTTGACAGAATCCAAATCTAAATTTCAAGACCCAGATTTTAATTGGAAAAACCAGAAGTAGAAGTTTAACTTCAAATTCAGAAATCAATTAGAGTTTATTGGGACACAGTTTCAATTAAACATTTACAATTTGATTTATACGATTCAAATTCAGATTTTTATTTCAGTCATTCAAGTTGAGCAATACAAATTCAAATATAAATCATTCAAACTCAGTTTCTGGTGGCACAACTTTCTGCCCAGAGGTATCTCCCTGCCTGCACCTGCACTTCCTGTCACAAGCTTTATCTGAGTCGGTCCGCAGAAGCCACATTTGAGAATCACAGAATTTATTGTTTCGCAAAGACCTCTGGGTATCTTCACGTAGCTCTGGCAGTAGCAGATCGTATCTGGCAAGAAAACAATGCAAATGTGCGACATGGTGACAAAGATAAGTACCGGAAGAGAAGCCTTGACTTCAAACGAGGCAACAGAGTCGGTTATGGTGGTTTGACCCATAGACGGTTTACAAAAGAAGGACGTGGAGAATTCTCTGGTTTCTAAGATAAATCTCGAAATCTGTAAGAAAATGATTCTACTTCTCCCTTGATGTTTAATCTCATTAAATGTTTGCCGAGTGAGTTTGTCATCGTCATTGTTTGTTCCAAGTCTCCTTCAATGCAGCACAGTGTTTATTTTGTGTGTTATGGTCTCATTCACAGGAGAATAGACAGTTAATGGTATGTTTTAGGGCGTGGCTGCTCTGTGACTGACTGGTTTTCAGTCCAATCCAAGCTTTGCTCATTAGGTCCGTTTCAAAAAACCAAGATGGCGACGCCGACTTTCAAACTCAAAACTGTAGTCCACCAACCAGCAGGTGGCGTCCCATTGGCTGTGACCATCCTTCATATACAGTTTGATGGTTTGAACATGAAGTAGGTGAAAACAAGTAAAGTTTCATGAAGAAATAATGTGACAAAGCAGTTTAGTTTTGAGCGGCAACAATTAGATACTTAATAAACAGAAACTTTACCATCACTGATTTAGATAACCAGTCTGCTGAGCATTTTTTTTCTGCTCTCATAAGGGTTCATGGTTTCATTCAACCCTTATGAGAGCAGACCAAATGTCTCCAGGGTTTGAAGTGTGAGGCAAACAAAACACGGTGTTGAACGTCATCGTCTTGGGCTTTCTTGGGTTTCTTTTATGTAATTTTCAGAGTGATTTAGAAACTAATGTACCAATAATTTATCCATCCATTATCTATACACCGCTTAATGCTCACTAGGGTTGTGGGGGGCTGGAGTCTATCCCAGCTGACTTAGGGCGAAGGCAGGGGACACCCTGGACAGGTCATGTACCAATAATTTGTAATGGAAATAAATAACTAACTAATTAACTGCAGCTCTACTTTAGTGATGTCCTGAAAAGCCGAATGATGATTCTGTCTTCTGGATGTCCGCTGGTTATAAACCTTTATAACAAATTTGTGATTTTAGGTTTTTTTATACATGTATTTTTAAAATATACATTCAGTTCGAACAGTTTTAAAGGAAACAGGCAAGAATTCATTTTAATAATCATTCATTTTCCAGGAATGAAGTTCATGCAAAAATGAAATATTTATTCACGGGTACATGACAATAGCAGGCTTTAAACATCAACATGCATCATCCAGCGTTATATATAATGTGTGTTAAAGCTCTAACCAGTAATGTAACTGTTGCTCAGCTTCTCCCAGTAACACGTATGCATCAGGCTACATTCAGATCAATATGTCATCATATTGTTGGAACAAACTGATCATAAGCAAAGTGAATCCATCAAAAGGTTAAAAGTAAAAACCACAAAACGTCTTCATCCAATGTAGGACTAAAGGTTGTCGATTTCTGGGAGGTTGTGTTAGTTTACAGATCAATCCTTACTTAAGAATGAAGTTTGTTGATTGTGGAGCATTTCCTCCTAGACGAGTCTTTCAAACAGATCTTCCAGTCCACCTCGTACTGCGTCAGCACTTTTACGTACAGCTCTCAGTACACTTTCCAGTGCACCTCTCAGTAGATTTCCCACTGAAGAACGGATGTCGTCCAGGCTCCGCAATCCAGCGTCATCATCTTCTTCTTCCTGATTTTCCTCTTGCTCACTGTCCTCAGTATTTTCTGAGGAGCTCTCTTCTTTGTTTGTGGTAGTTGTAGCAGATGTGGTTTTGGATGTGGTTGTCGGGGCCGTAGTTGTTGGTGTTGTGGTTGTGGTTGGTGGAATCGTAGTAGTTTGAGGTTTAGTTGTCGTGGGAGGGGTAGTTGTGGTTGAGGCCTGGGGAGGACAATGGCATTTCTTTTCCATTTCTGGGTAAAACTCAGCAACAGTTGTGTGGAGAGGACACTGTGTTCCAGGAAACGCCTCAAACCTTGAGCCCACTGAGCTCAGCTCTTGATGGAGTTGTGCCAAAGTCTTTGTCTGCAGATATTTAGATCCATTTTTTGGGATGTTGTCGCCCCAGTGTGCGCTGGCTAACCACCTGTTTGTGTTGCGACTGTAACAGCAGAATGCTGTCCAGAGCATGGAAGGTATGTTAACCCTGTTGTTGAGTGTGTTGCTCGTGCTGGGCCGTGCTCCCGTCACTACAAAGCCTACAGGGTCACCATTATTATTAATGCAGTACTTTTGCAGGACACATTTGGTGCAGCTCTCCATTTTTTGCCAGCTACCACCGTTGAAAGTGATTGCTTGTGGAACAGCGTTTGTCAGGGTGAAGGTTGACTTTTTGTCATTTCTGTCAAATGCATGAGAAACTGGAAATAAATGGCCCCTATTATACTGTTTGTCTGTTTTGTAATCATCGTCACTGGCCTGGTTGACGTTGTCGTCGTCTCTCATGTTGTTGGTGTTTCTTCCTTCAAGCTGCAGAAGTAGGAAGATTCAGTCAGTGGCACTGATGATGTATCAGCATGATAAAGTCATCTCAAGTTATTTCTGTAAACACCACTGCATACAATGACCTGAAGCAAACAGCCGAAGCTGCACAACGGTGAACGTTCTGGAGAGCCAACTTCTCCATGAACACCACCAAACACTGACTTGAAGGAGATGAGTGCTTATGCAATCCCTTGTTTTCACTTTGACGTGAAAGAGTCTTTTTTTTGGTAATTTCTTGTCAAAAAAGCCAATTATATTGACCATAGTTTAATGTTGCAATTTAATAAAAGAAAAAAAAGTCCAAGGTTGCTGAATAGATCTATCGACGCTGCTAATCAGCCAAACAACCAAAACAGGACATGACCTCATACATCACTTCCAAGCAATCTTTGGTTTGTTGACTTCCTGTCAGTGTTTACAGCTGTGCTTTAAACATGATCCCTGCTCAACAGCTTGGCCTCAACATCGCTGCTGTATTTAGTGAAAGTCTTGTTTTATAATGTAGAGAAACCAAAACAAACCTGTTCCTCAATTCTCCAAAATGGACGGCGTCCTCCCGTGTCTTGTTCCCCTTTGTACTTGTAGGCAGAAAACACTGGAATCCTGTTCTTGGTGTCGTAGAGCGTCAGAAATCTTCTTTGGTCCATATAAGTCTGGCAGATGACTTTGTATCGGTTCTGGTTTGTGACGTTTCCATTTTGTAAGATTCCCGGGATCTGTGGTGGACGTTCGTCAAGAAGAAACCCAGCACAGTCTGACACTGAATCCACCACTTCAGTCACAGTGGGAACGATGAAGGCAGCGACGAGCAGGAAACGCCACATCCTCACCGATATCGCCATCACACGCTGCACATGTGGAGGAGAGAGTCGTCAGAAAGTGCCGTTAACTTGTGCACAGCTGCTCTAACGGTCGGCTTTTCTGAAACCACAGTCAGATCTCAAATCATTCAATGTTTGGAACAGTTTCTCCTCGACCTTCTCAGATTTTTCTGAAACTTTTGTGGCATAAAACATAGATATAAAGAAAGATATTTGTCATATTTAAACATGACATATCACATCATTTTCAGGGTTTTTTTTTTTTACTTTAATTGCCCGTCGACCCACTTTCTCATTTCTCACATTGAAATTTGAGGCTGCTTGAACAATAATAACTCAGGAACTATGAAAGATAAATGACATTTCTACCGTTGTTTCTCAGTGTGAAGTCAGCATGGTGTCAGAGTAAGTAGAACTTCTGCGACAGTCTGGCAGCTGAAGGAGATATGAATCTGCTCACATTCAGCACTTTTTTTTCTCACTCATTTAAATTTGCGGCTGTTTGAACGACAGCATCTCAGGAACTATTACACATAAAAGCTTCGTTTATTCGTTAGAATTTATTCAGCTGCTTGTCAAGATGCCATCGGACCAGTAGAGCTAATAATCTTTCTTTGTGAGTGAGTTGAAATGTTGATTTTAAAATATTAAACCTTCATGAAAAACAAAGTTTGTAATGCAGATGTCAGTTTATTTCCTAAATCCTATCTGCTAGAGATACTCAGCTACATGTAATAAAACATGAATTCAATTGTTACAGTGTTTCCTTAAGGAGAAAGTTATTTAAATGGTGGATGATGTCGGGAAGCATCTATGAGTAAAAGAACTGACCTAAACACGTACTGTACCCTCCAGAAGCTATGGGAGGGTAGACTTAGGGATGAACAACAACTTTGATTAAAAGAATGGATGTTTTCTCATTTGCATGCATTTGTTCTTTACTCTTTATCAAACTGTCATTCATTGAATGTGAGAAAAACATCTAAACAGCTGTAATCTTAAAGGCTTTACTGCTCCACAGCCTCTCACTTTGGATCAGTGTTGATCAGACAAAACGAGCAGTCAGTAAAAGCCATGAAAAATATGCAGAGAAAAACTTACCGTCTTCGATCAGAGCTTCATGAAATCTGCCCAAACGCACTGACGGTCCAGGTTTTGTCTGTTAATAGAAACTGAAAGCAAACACGGCACCTTAACTGACCCTGTGAGGGAAGTCTGGCTTTACTTTAACTGGAAATGTGGCAACTTTCCAGCCAGATTGTTTTTTTTTCTGCACATTTCCTTTCTCTGACAGGGAGTTCTAATCACAGCTGTCCAGTGGGGAGTTTCCAGCCTGTTCTGGGAAAATGTTTCCTCCACTTTAACTGTCACAGAAGCTTTCGCAGAGAAAATCTTGTGTAACGTCAATAACTTCCACATACACAGCAATCGGTGTGATATCTGAATTTCTACATACAGAAGAATCCGTACAGTGTCTGCAGTTCTGATGTATATGTCTTGTTTACTTTTCATTTCTGTGCTGATGTCCCTTCATTTGTTCTATCCTCGTTGCTCCTGTAAACACGTTAATGCGGTCGTCGTCCTCAATCTGTCCTTCATGTGAAGCACATTTATTCTTAGAACTTTATTTCCTCTCTGTTTACTGATCACATCATACTTCCTGTTAATAGAGATTAGTGGTTTGTGCAACATAACTAACGCAGACAGCTAAAAACATGATTACATCAATCGTATTATATGTATGTTTAAGAAAATCTGACATTCAGTGTTCGGTTTTTGGATAATAGTTCTTCAAAGCCAGCTTACATTCACTTCAAGCAGAAACAAAAATTGTCCTTTTTTCATGGATATGATGCAATATGAAGCGTTTATTCATGAGTACATGAGAATAACAGGCTTTAAACATCAACATGTATCATCCAGCGTTATATTTAATGTGTTTTAAAGCTCGAACCAGTAACGTAACAGTTGCTCAGCTTCTCCCAGGAACACGTATGCATCAGGCTACATTCTGATCAGTGTATCATATTACTGATTGAACAAACTGATCAAAGCAAATCCATCAAAAGGTTAAAAGTGAAAACTACAAACATTTTAATTCAGTGTTGGAATGGATTACAGGAAGGTTGTGTTAGTGTTGGGATCAGGTATAAAGGTTGTCGATGTCTGAGGGGTTGCATTAGTTTGCTGATTAATAGTTGCAGAAATAAAAGTTGTTGATGTCTCGAAGTCTGTGTTAGTTTTGGGATCAGTCATTGTCGGGACAGCAACTGTAGATACATCTCCCAGTATACCTCCCAGTATACCTCCCAGTATACCTCCCAGTATACCAGCTATGCCTCCACCGCTTCCTCCTGAACTACCAGATGGAGCTTCATCATTTCCTCCTGGTCGTTCCTGATTTCCTTCTTGCCCATTGTCCTCATTATTTTGTTTCTTGTTTCTTTGCAGGAATAGTAGCAGTAGTAGTAGTAGTAGTCGTGGTGGTAGTAGTAGTAGCAGTAGTACTGGTAGCAGTAGTTGTGGTAGTCGGAGTGGATGAGGTGTTGGTTGTGTCTGTATTGACTGTGGCTGTTGTGGTTGGTGGAGTCGTAGTATTTTGAGGTTTACCAGTTGCAGTTGTGGTAGTATTAGTGCTGGTAGTTGTGGTAGTGGGAGGGGCAGTTGTGTTTATAGCCTAGCGATGGCATTGGCATTGCTTACCATCTTCTGTGTGAAACTCAGCAACATTTGTGTGGAGAGGACACTCCTTTCCAGGAAACGCCTCAAAAGCTGAGCCCACTGAGCTCAGCTCTTGATGGAGTTGTGCCAAACTCTTCGTCTGCAGATATTTAGATCCATATTCTGCGATGTTGTCGCCCCAGTGTGCGCTGGCTAACCACCTGTTTGTGTTGCGAATGCGACAGCAGAATGCTGTCCAGAGCATGGAAGGTATGTTAACCCTGTTGTTGAGTGTGTTGCTCTCGCTGGGCCGTGCTCCCGTCACTACAAAGCCTTCAGGGTCACCATTATTAATATGGCAGTACTCTTGTAGGGCACATTTGGTGCAGCTCTCCATTTTTTCCCAGCTGCCACCGTTGAAAGTGACTGCTTGTGGAACAATGTTTGTCAGGGTGAAGGTTGACTTTTTGTCATCTGTGTTGAATGCATGAGAAACTGGAAATAAATGGCCCCTATTATACCGTTGTTTGTTGTCTGTTTTATAATCAGCGTTACTGGCCTGGTTGATGTACTGGTCGTCTCTCATGTTGTCGTTTCTTTCTTCAAGCTGCAAATGTAGGAAGATTCAGTCAGTGGCACTGATGATGTATCAGCATGATAAAGTCATCTGTGAGAAAGTTATTTCATGATAGATTTTGGAGATTCAACAGTAAACCAAATTCCTTACATTCACTCACTCTATTCACATTCTGCAAATCCAAGTAGACCTTGTCAGTTTTTATTTACAACGCTAAAGCAAACACAGTATTGTATTTTTTGAAAAACCTTTCGATAGAGACATCAAATCTATAAAACATCTTGGACAGATAACCCTAATGATCAGTACAACAAAGCACATCAGAACCCAAATAGGACCACTGTGGCCATGTCTCTGAATGTTTCAGGTTCTACTTTTTCTGATAGGACTTTTTCTTCTGCCATTGGAGTCTATGGAAGCATCAATAATTGTGTGGTTTGTTATTTGGAACACTAACTGGACACAATCTGCTCATTCTTTTCAACAAGATTTAAATCTGCACTTAAATTACTCAGTTGAAGGTGCATTTATGCCCAATTTAAACAGAAAACAGGGCGTCAGTGGATCCCTGTGATAAGCTGTATATGATGTCAGTTTGTTTTCTGATGATCTCAGATAATCTGGCAGAGCTTGAGCAGTTTCACAAAGAAGAATGAGGTAAAGCTGCAACATCCAGACATGTAGGGTTGTATGAGTTCTATCTAGACGGGCTCAACGCTTTAACTGCAATCAAATGTTCATCTCCTAAACACTGACTTGAAGCGAGAGAATATTTGTGCAGTTTTTTATTTTGTGTTTGATGTTTTTAATTGTCATGACTTTGTAGAAATCAGTTTTTCACTTTGACATGAGAGTTGTGTAAATTCATTTCAGAAAAAGCCAAATTATGTTGACCACGATTTAATGCTGAAAGGCAACAAAAGGGAGAAGCTTCCAAAGAGTACCAGTACTTTTTACAGGCAGTGATGATGAAGACAAATAACCAAAACAGGACATGACCTCGTATGTCCCTTCCAAGAAATCTTGACTTAGTTGACATAAAACTTCCTGCCAGGTTCTCCATGATGGATTAAACATGATCAGATAAAGCTTCCATGGCAGACATGTCCTGCTGAGCAGCTTGGCCTCATCATCGCTGCTGTATTTAGTGAAAGTATTTTTATATGATATAGAGAAAGCAAATCAAACCTGTGGCTCTGTTCTCCAAGGTGTTTTGGGCCTTCCCTTGTCTTGTTCCCCTTTGTACTTGTAGGCAGAAAACACTGGAATCCTCTTCTTGATGTCGTAGAGCGTCAGAAATCTTCTTTGGTCCATAAAAGTCTGGCAGATGACTTTGTATCGGTTCTGGTTCTGGATGGTTCCACCTTCTAAGATTCCCGGGATCTGTGGTGGACGTTTGTTAAGCAGAAACTCAGCACAGTCTGACACTGAATCCACCAGTTCGGTCGCGGTGGGAACGATGAAGGCAGCGACGAGCAGGAAACGCCACATCCTCACCGATGTCGCCGTCACACGCTGCACATGTGGAGGACAGAGTCGTCAGAATCTACAAACATTACATCAAGTCCAACCCTCATCAGTCAAAATACAGATGAGAAACACCTGTACTGAACAACATCTGTAATGTCCACATATCTTGCAACAGGAATCATATCACAGGTAAAGGCTGGTTCTGTCCCCAGTCTGTATCACCAGAGAGTGACAGCCAGTCAATCCATCCATCTATATATCATGTAATGAACATTTCTTGAATAGTCATATTAAATATATATAGTTTGAATAGTTGGCCAGAGTGACGGATAATTATCTACAAGTAACAGAAATAAGTCAATATTTAGCTGAATGTTTTGGAAAACTGCATGAATAGTGACAATAAAGTAGAAAAGTTTTAGTGTTTCAAAGAAATAATGGATAAAAAAGGGAATTATTGATATTTAATGGGAGAAAAAAACTAAATATTCAGCTAGATGTAATGTAGCAGTGATAGTAAATAGTTTTTTATTTTAAAAAAAGTTGGAATATTTGGAGGGTGGCTCAGTGGTTAGCACTGTTGCCTCGCAGCAAGAAGGTTGCCGGTTCACGTCCCGGTGGAGGCACCATGTTCTCCCCGTGCAGTGTGGGTTCTCTCTGGGTTCTCCTGCTTCCTCCCACACAGTCCAAAAACATGTTGAGGTTAATTGGTGATTGTAAATTGTCCGTAGGTGTGAATGTGAGTGTGCTTGGTTGTCTGTCTCTAA